TAATACAGAGTCTGCACACAGTGCACCGACACAGAGTACTAATACAGAGTCTGCACACAGTGCACCGACACAGAGTACTAATACAGAGTCCGCACACAGTGCACCGACACAGAGTACTAATACAGAGTCCGCACACAGTGCACCGACACAGAGTACTAATACAGAGTCCGCACATAGTGCACCGACACAGAGTACTAATACAGAGTCTGCACACAGTACACAGACACAGAGTACTAATACAGAGTCTGCACACAGTGCACCGACACAGAGCACAAATACAGAGTCCGCACACAGTGCACCGACACAGAGTACTAATACAGAGTCCGCACACAGTGCACCGACACAGAGTACTAATACAGAGTCTGCACACAGTGCACAGACACAGAGTACTAATACAGAGTCTGCACACAGTGCACCGACAGAGTACTAATACAGAGTCTGCACACAGTGCACAGACACAGAGTACTAATACAGAGTCTGCACACAGTGCACAGACACAGAGTACTAATACAGAGTCTGCACACAGTGCACAGACACAGAGTACTAATACAGAGTCTGCACACAGTGCACAGACACAGAGTACTAATACAGAGTCCGCACACAGTGCACCGACACAGAGTACTAATACAGAGTCCACACACAGTGCACCGACACACAGTACTAATACAGAGTCCGCACACAGTGCTCCAACACAGAGCACTAATACAGAGTCTGCACACAGTGCACCGACACAGAGTACTAATACAGAGTCCGCACATAGTGCACCAACACAGAGTACTAATACAGAGTCCGCACACAGTGCACCGACACAGAGTACTAATACAGAGTCTGCACACAGTGCACAGACACAGAGCACAAATACAGAGTCCGCACACAGTGCACCGACACAGAGTACTAATACAGAGTCCGCACATAGTGCACCAACACAGAGTACTAATACAGAGTCCGCACACAGTGCACCGACACAGAGTACTAATACAGAGTCCGCACACAGTGCACCGACACAGAGTACTAATACAGAGTCTGCACACAGTGCACCGACACAGAGTACTAATACAGAGTCTGCACACAGTGCACCGACACAGAGTACTAATACAGAGTCCGCACACAGTGCACCGACACAGAGTACTAATACAGAGTCCGCACACAGTGCACCGACACAGAGTACTAATACAGAGTTCGCACACAGTGCACCGACACAGAGTACTAATACAGAGTCTGCACACAGTGCACCGACACAGAGTACTAATACAGAGTCTGCACACAGTGCACCGACACAGAGTACTAATACAGAGTCCGCACACAGTGCACCGACACAGAGTACTAATACAGAGTCTGCACACAGTGCACCGACACAGAGTACTAATACAGAGTCCGCACACAGTGCACCGACACAGAGCACAAATACAGAGTCCGCACACAGTGCACCGACACAAAGCACAAATACAGAGTCTGCACACAGTGCACCGACACAGAGCACAAATACAGAGTCTGCACACAGTGCACCGACACAGAGTACTAATACAGAGTCCTCACACAGTGCACCTACACAGAGCCAAATACAGAGTTAACATAGTACACAATGAGCTAATAGACTCTAGAACATAGTGCACTATTAGTGTACTTGTGAACAGTGCATTAATACACACACACACACACACAGAGTAACTAATTGTATTACCCTTTCTGAAAGTACTCAGTAAGATTGTATTATTGAGTAACATGTTGCATATAGAGAACTTTATCATTAAGGTTTATTACTAAAAGTGGAGTATTCACCCACCGAGCCCCAACAAGCAGTGACACTTACCGGAGGAACCCGCCTGCTTGATGATGATTGTAGTTTTCAGGCTGTGAATGCCAGAAGAGCATTTTCAGGAGGGGTAACCGGGACAAAGAGTGGAAGAGATCCAGGCAGACCCCCTGCTCCTGTATTAGCACTCTCTGCACCCCCTGCTCCTGTATTAACACTCTCTGCACCCCCTGCTCCTGTATTAATACTCTGTGCAGACCCCCTGCTCCTGTATTAGCACTCTGTGCAGATCCCCTGCTCCTGTATTAATACTCTGTGCAGACCCCCTGCTCCTATATTAGCACTCTCTGCAGCCCCTGCTCCTGTATTAATACTCTGTGCAGACCCCCTGCTCCTGTATTAATACTCTGTGCAGACCCCCTGCTCCTGTATTAGCACTCTGTGCAGACTCCCTGCTCCTGTATTAATACTCTGTGCAGACCCCCTGCACTGTATTAGACCCTCTTGATCTATTCCTGTTCAGAACCCTGGTTTCCCCTCTATCTCTCCCTATGCATAGCCCCCCTAATTCCCCCAGTGCATGCTCCCCGTCTCCCCTATAACTCCCCCCTACACTCCCCTAATCCCCCTCTATTTCTCCCTGATTAGTCTCTTGGACTAGTCTCTGATTCACACTATACATAACCCTAGTCTCCCTTTCGATTCCTCCTGGTACAGACTATTTGGCACCCCTGTGACCCCTCTCCTTGCAGGCTGGGATCCCCTATTAGCGCACTATGCTCCCCCAATTTGCAAACAGAGTGATCAGTGTCCCCAGGTACAGACTCCCAGCAGCCCCCGCTCTGCCAGCACAACGTTCTACAGCACGCGCTCACAGGCTGGTCGGGTCTTGCGCTCTGGCTCCCAGCTTTATTTGCCATCCGCCTCCTGCCTGTGATTGGTCAGTTTTACTCCCCCTCCTCCTGCCCTGCCCTGCCCTGCTCTGCGTGCTGCTGGGACCCAAGCAGGGCCCTTCCCGTGGGCAGCATTGACAGGGTGTGCCTTCAGAGGGCACTGGGCATTGTTACCACTGGGCAGCAGTGACAGGGTGTGCCTTCAGAGGGCACTGGGCACTCTAACCCCTGGGCAGCAGTGACAGGGTGTGCCTTCAGAGGGCACTGGGCACTCTAACCCCTGGGCAGCAGTGACAGGGTGTGCCTTCAGAGGGCACTGGGCATTGTTACCACTGGGCAGCAGTGACAGGGTGTGCCTTCAGAGGGCACTGGGCACTCTAACCCCTGGGCAGCAGTGACAGGGTGTGCCTTCAGAGGGCACTGGGCACTCTAACCCCTGGGCAGCAGTGACAGGGTGTGCCTTCAGAGGGCACTGGGCATTGTTACCACTGGGCAGCAGTGACAGGGTGTGCCTTCAGAGGGCACTGGGCACCCTAACCCCTGGGCAGCAGTGACAAGGTGTGCCTTCAGAGGGCACTGGGCATTGTTACCCCTGGGCAGCAGTGACAGGGTGTGCCTTCAGAGGGCACTGGGCACTCTAACCCCTGGGCAGAGTGACAGGGTGTGCCTTCAGAGGGCACTGGGTACTCTAACCCCTGGGCAGCAGTGACAAGGTGTGCCTTCAGAGGGCACTGGGCATTGTAACCCCTGGGCTGCAGTGACAGGGTGTGCCTTCAGAGGGCACTGGGCATTGTTACCCCTGGGCAGCAGTGACAGGGTGTGCCTTCAGAGGGCACTGGGCATTGTTACCTCAGGGCAGCAGTGACAGGGTGTGCCTTCAGAGGGCACTGGGCATTGTTACCACTGGGCAGCAGTGACAGGGTGTGCCTTCAGAGGGCACTGGGCACCCTAACCCCTGGGCAGCAGTGACAAGGTGTGCCTTCAGAGGGCACTGGGCATTGTTACCCCTGGGCAGCAGTGACAGGGTGTGCCTTCAGAGGGCACTGGGCACTCTAACCCCTGGGCAGAAGTGACAGGGTGTGCCTTCAGAGGGCACTGGGTACTCTAACCCCTGGGCAGCAGTGACAAGGTGTGCCTTCAGAGGGCACTGGGCATTGTAACCCCTGGGCTGCAGTGACAGGGTGTGCCTTCAGAGGGCACTGGGCATTGTTACCCCTGGGCAGCAGTGACAGGGTGTGCCTTCAGAGGGCACTGGGCATTGTTACCTCAGGGCAGCAGTGACAGGGTGTGCCTTCAGAGGGCACTGGGTACTCTAACCCCTGGGCAGCAGTGACAAGGTGTGCCTTCAGAGGGCACTGGGCACTCTAACCCCTGGGCTGCAGTGACAGGGTGTGCCTTCAGAGGGCACTGGGCATTGTTACCCCTGGGCAGCAGTGACAAGGTGTGCCTTCAGAGGGCACTGGGTACTCTAACCCCTGGGCAGCAGTGACGGGGTGTGCCTTCAGAGGGCACTGGGCATTGTAACCCCTGGGCTGCAGTGACAGGGTGTGCCTTCAGAGGGCACTGGGCATTGTTACCACTGGGCAGCAGTGACAGGGTGTGCCTTCAGAGGGCACTGGGCATTGTAACCCCTGGGCTGCAGTGACAAGGTGTGCCTTCAGAGAGCACTGGGCATTGTTACCCCTGGGCAGAAGTGACAGGGTGTGCCTTCAGAGGGCACTGGGTACTCTAACCCCTGGGCAGCAGTGACAAGGTGTGCCTTCAGAGGGCACTGGGCATTGTAACCCCTGGGTTGCAGTGACAGGGTGTGCCTTCAGAGCAGAGGGCACTGGGCATTGTAACCCCTGGGCTGCAGTGACAGGGTGTGCCTTCAGAGGGCACTGGGCATTGTAACCCCTGGGCAGCAGTGACAGGGTGTGCCTTCAGAGGGCACTGGGCATTCTAACCCCTGGGCAGCAGTGACAGGGTGTGCCTTCAGAGGGCACTGGGTACTCTAACCCCTGGGCAGCAGTGACAAGGTGTGCCTTCAGAGGGCACTGGGCACTCTAACCCCTGGGCTGCAGTGACAGGGTGTGCCTTCAGAGGGCACTGGGCATTGTTACCACTGGACAGCAGTGACAGGGTGTGCCTTCAGAGGGCACTGGGCATTGTTACCACTGGGCAGCAGTGACAGGGTGTGCCTTCAGAGGGCACTGGGCACTCTAACCCCTGGGCAGCAGTGACAGGGTGTGCCTTCAGAGGGCACTGGGCATTGTTACCATTGGGCAGCAGTGACAGGGTGTGCCTTCAGAGGGCACTGGGCACTCTAACCCCTGGGCAGCAGTGACAAGGTGTGCCTTCAGAGGGCACTGGGCATTGTAACCCCTGGGCTGCAGTGACAGGGTGTGCCTTCAGAGGGCACTGGGCATTGTTACCCCTGGGCAGCAGTGACAGGGTGTGCCTTCAGAGGGCACTGGGCATTGTTACCTCAGGGCAGCAGTGACAGGGTGTGCCTTCAGAGGGCACTGGGTACTCTAACCCCTGGGCAGCAGTGACAAGGTGTGCCTTCAGAGGGCACTGGGCACTCTAACCCCTGGGCTGCAGTGACAGGGTGTGCCTTCAGAGGGCACTGGGCATTGTTACCCCTGGGCAGCAGTGACAAGGTGTGCCTTCAGAGGGCACTGGGTACTCTAACCCCTGGGCAGCAGTGACGGGGTGTGCCTTCAGAGGGCACTGGGCATTGTAACCCCTGGGCTGCAGTGACAGGGTGTGCCTTCAGAGGGCACTGGGCATTGTTACCACTGGGCAGCAGTGACAGGGTGTGCCTTCAGAGGGCACTGGGCATTGTAACCCCTGGGCTGCAGTGACAAGGTGTGCCTTCAGAGAGCACTGGGCATTGTAACCCCTGGGCAGAAGTGACAGGGTGTGCCTTCAGAGGGCACTGGGTACTCTAACCCCTGGGCAGCAGTGACAAGGTGTGCCTTCAGAGGGCACTGGGCATTGTAACCCCTGGGTTGCAGTGACAGGGTGTGCCTTCAGAGCAGAGGGCACTGGGCATTGTAACCCCTGGGCTGCAGTGACAGGGTGTGCCTTCAGAGGGCACTGGGCATTGTAACCCCTGGGCAGCAGTGACAGGGTGTGCCTTCAGAGGGCACTGGGCACTCTAACCCCTGGGCAGCAGTGACAGGGTGTGCCTTCAGAGGGCACTGGGTACTCTAACCCCTGGGCAGCAGTGACAGGGTGTGCCTTCAGAGGGCACTGGGCACTCTAACCCCTGGGCTGCAGTGACAGGGTGTGCCTTCAGAGGGCACTGGGCATTGTTACCACTGGGCAGCAGTGACAGGGTGTGCCTTCAGAGGGCACTGGGCATTGTTACCACTGGGCAGCAGTGACAGGGTGTGCCTTCAGAGGGCACTGGGCACTCTAACCCCTGGGCAGCAGTGACAGGGTGTGCCTTCAGAGGGCACTGGGCATTGTTACCATTGGGCAGCAGTGACAGGGTGTGCCTTCAGAGGGCACTGGGCACTCTAACCCCTGGGCAGCAGTGACAGGGTGTGCCTTCAGAGGGCACTGGGCATTGTTACCACTGGGCAGCAGTGACAGGGTGTGCCTTCAGAGGGCACTGGGCACTCTAACCCCTGGGCAGCAGTGACAGGGTGTGCCTTCAGAGGGCACTGGGTACTCTAACCCCTGGGCTGCAGTGACAGGGTGTGCCTTCAGAGGACACTGGGCATTGTTACCCCTGGGCAGCAGTGACAAGGTGTGCCTTCAGAGGGCACTGGGCATTGTAACCCCTGGGCTGCAGTGACAGGGTGTGCCTTCAGAGGGCACTGGGCATTGTAACCCCTGGGCTGCAGGGTAGCCTACATGCAGATCACTGAATACAATATAGCACACAATGTATCATTGGGAGATCTCATCAGCTCTTGTTTTATTCTATACTAGATCTTTCAATAGCATTAATTAATAATATTTACTATTACAGGTTCCAGGGCTGTGCAGCCTAACCCGGGCACTTCATCAGGTAATCACCATTGACTGGAGATTATTCTCTAAACATGAGCTAAATATTCACTTCTTAAATTACTCTAAAAGAACCAAATTTAAAGAACTCCAACTTATTAAATGCAGAAATCCCTTCCAACTCAGCTAGTTAGACTGAAAGCGTGTAAATCCATTAACAGAGAGCCAAGAAGTAAATAAATCCCTCATTAAAAAAAGCTTCTAGCCTGCAGTAATGCCTCTTTGCATATCTGTCACACTGAGAATTATTGGAAACTGACAAGGAAAACTAATTGGGTGAAAAATTGTCCAATTCTGCTTTTTCCTAGCTCTGCTGTTTTAATGGAAAATTCTAATTTCCCTTATATGTGATTTCTAAGTTTCCCAGTTAAGAGAATATTGTATCAAGCATTGAAATGTACCCAGAAACTGACGATTAATTGAAAGGAAATGACATCATGGTTTCTGTCTCTGTTTTGCAGATATAAACGCTGAAGAGATGGAGTTTTTCCAGGGCAGGATGATGGGGGTGCAAAGTTCTGTAAACATTTACACATATCTTCAGGTTTTCCAAAACTAAGCCTTGATATGCCAGCCCAGCAGTAATAATCACCTCTACATCTGAAAAAACCTCTACCACTTCAGCTGGAAGCCTATTCCATGCATCCACTACTCTGTCAGTAAAGTAATACTGGATATAAGTAACACAATCTCATGTACACTCTGTGTATCATATAAACCTCTGTACACTCTAAATATCACATAAACCTCTGTACACGCTTCATATCACATAAACCCCTGTACACTCTGCATGTCACATAATCTCCTGCATGTCACATTAACTCATGTCCACTCTGCATATCACATAAACCCCTTTACACTCTGCATATCATATAAACTGCTCTACACTCTTAATATCACATAAACCTCTGTACACTCTGTATATCACATAACCTCCAGTACACTCTGCTTATCACTAAACTACTGTACACTCTGCATGTCACACAATCTCATGTACACTCTGCGTATTACATTAACCTCTGTACACTCTGCATATCACATAAACTCCTGTATATTCTGTATATCACATAAGCCCTGTCCATGGTGGGATTGTGATATGTAGGTTATCTATCACAATAAAAACCTGAATGCAACTATTCTGCCTACAAACATACTGCACATTTATGAAGCTCTGAGAGAACCTGTACAAGTTGCTTTTGCCGTATACAACATATGCTGTACGAAAATGTACCGGTATATGCTGGAGAAAGCATTGTTTCCTCAGTGATGTAACCAAGCGAGAGGGTGGGCCACAGAAGGGTTTAGATCTCACGGGGCCCTAGGCAAGTTACCAGTTTGCCCCTTCCCTAATCCTCTACATAGGTATGGTTAATAGGGCCAAACAAATTGATGGTTCCGGACCCCCTGTCTAACCCCTGGGACCTAGGAATGGTTAATCCTGCTCTGAGTTAGGCTCCTCAGTATGGTGAGTTTTACAAATTATTACAACTATTATAAAGAGAATAAAGAGGACGATTCAAGCTGCACTTTATATTACAGCTTTTGCACAAATCGTGGGTAGTTTTAATGGTTAGAATGCTCATCTAATATAAGCAAATGAGTTCAAAATTGCCATTTCTATTTCATTACTATTTAGAACAAACACAAAGTAGCCTATTTAAATGCACACAGATATATATATGTACATTTACCAATCCTTAAGCACACACTGTGGTGAGTTGTACAGGTGTTTAGCATTGTGATATATCCCTCACACAGTACACAAAGAAAGGAGATTGGAGCGTAAAAGAGTAACAGTGGGATTTGGGCCCTAAAGGGGCCCATTCCTCCAACACAGGCCCTGGGGTGAAAACGCAGCTAGGGAGACAAGGGCACATGTATGAGTGTGGGGATAGATGCTTGTGATTGGCTGTATGTGTATATGGGAGTGGTTATGTGTATTTAAAATGTAAAAAAAACACCTGCACATTTTTATAATGTTTTTAGCACTGAGCAGTGTTTTGTTTATTTTTATGTATTTAGCACCAAGCACTGTTTGTGTGTTTGAATGTAAGCATGTTTTTGTATGGAGTGTGTGTGAGTGAATGTACGGGTGTGTTTGCACGTATTGGCATTTGAATGCAGGAGTGCATTTTTCTGTAGTGTGGTTTTTGAATATGGTGGTGTTTTTTTTTGTAGTGTTGACATTTGGATGCAGGATTGTATTTGTGTGTAGTGTAGGCGAAATGCTGAGATGTATGCACATATACATACATGTACTTACATATACACACACTGGCACACATACACAGACACATAGGTACACACATGCAGTTACATATAAACAGTCATACACAGACAAACACTGGCACATACAGATAGACACACAGATACAAACACACATATAGATAACACACACACATACAGACACAGAGAGAGACACACAGGCACAGACACACATACAGATAGAGACACACACATACAGACACATTGATACAAACACACAAACAGATACACAGACACACTGACACATACAGATGCACATATACCAACGCACATACAGATACACAGGCACACATGTATAAGTGTGTGTCTGTGTGTGTTTGTATAGTGAATGCAGTGTGTGTGCTTGTATAGTGGATAATGGTGTGAGGGAAGGGGTGATGGTGAGGGGGGGAAGGGTGATGGTGGGGGGTGCAGTGAGAGGGAGCTCAGGGGGGTGAGGATGAGAGGGGGGGTGATTGAGGGGAGGGGGGTGATGAGGAGGGGGGATTGGAGAGGGGGGAGGAGTTAGAGGGAGGGAGGTGATTGTGAAGGGGTGATTGTGAGAGAGGGAGGTGATTGTGAGAGGGAGGGAGGGGTGATTGTAAGAGGGAGGGGGTGATTGTGGAGGGAGGGGGGGGATTGTGAAGGGGTAATTGTGACAGGGAGGGAGGGTGATTGTTAGAGGGGGGTGATTGTGAGAGGGAGGGGGGTGATTGTGAAGGGGTGATTATGAGAGGGAGGGAGGTGATTGTGAAAGGAGGGGGGGTAATAGTGAAGGGAAGAGGGGGTGATTGTGAGAGGGAGGGAGGGTGATTGTGAGGGGGGGGGTAATGTGATGAGGAGAGGGGGGGAGGTGATGCAGGGGGGACTAAAAAATTACCTTAAAACCCTGGTGGTCCGGTGGCCATCATTTCCGGTCTGCAGCTCTGCACATTGCGGAGCTGCAGACCGGTCTTAGCGATGGGCGTAGGAGGGGCATTGCAATCTGCCCCGGGCACCCCCCTAGTGAGTGGCACCCGGGGTGGACCGCACCCCCTTAGTACCCCACTGGGTGTAGGGATCATCTTACCTCAGTGCCTCTTGGAAGACGGGCCAGCAAACAACTTTCCTCCCATCCACCCTCTGTTCTATTTGTTACTGTCTATGACACAGCTAACGGGGGGCGTGTCCTTGCCAATAGGTTTTTGGGGGCTATTACATGGTGTGTCAGGATATGGACAAGGTTGGGTCTCAACCTCCCCTGCTCTGTAGGGTAAACTATTAGGTTACCGACTTGGACGTGCCCACCGAGCTAAAAGCCAGCTGGTGGTAAGCATTGAAAGGAAAAGGCAATTTGGTTTGGACGAGGGGGGAGGCCAGAACCCTGTGGGCAAGTTGGTGCATAGGCACTTGGTCTCTTTCATTGGCAAGGCCGTTTATGTAAGCTAAGTCTGTAGGGCACTAGGTGTTAATAATTATATGTAAAGTTATGGATTATTTAGTTCTGGTTATAATTAAATGATAAAGTGAAATGAGACCTACAGTCTAATGTTTTAATAAATGCTGTGGCCTGTTTCATCCAAATTCGGTGTCTGTCGTTATTGGGGGGTATTTGGGGAAGGCTCCATTACTCTTATTTACATCACATTCCCTGCTACGTCCATACATGTAACAGCACCATGATTAGATACCAATGGACAAACACTTCCACTCTTTTTGGCATTAAATTACTTTAAAAAGTTTTTATTTGGCAATGATTCACCATCTTGGAGTCATTAGTGAAGTGGTAACATGCTAAATCCGAACAATTATTTGCTGAACAGTGAACGGTGATAAACTGGGAATCATTTGTTAAATTTAGGTTAGCTGAATTGGGGAACTTTTAAAATTCAAATACTTTATCCTTTAGTTCACAATTTTCAGCTTTTCTTCTAAAATAAAAAAAATCTAGGTTCTAGCTCCTATTTTACCTTCCTTCCCCAAAACGAATGCAACAAATCTACAAGCGTAATTAGTAACTGATATTGTGAGCTTAATGCAGATCGGCAGGTTGAGTTGATATAGTCGGTATATGAGCACTGGCTAAGATCCTAGAACGAATTTATTAGTCTTGCTTAATTCTTGATTTTCTGGAACATGCAGGAGAAGGGGGGGTGGAATATTCACTAAACTGGGAGAGCTTTTCTTTTTTTGAAACCCGCTACTTCAGCCTAAAATTCTCATGGCAGTTAATAAAATCTATGGAATCCAAAATATACAGGAGAGAGGTCTGTTTTTCCTGCTTGATACCAAGTCGTTGTGTAACCGAGTAAACTTCCAGAAGCCAGACACAGAGAGATGGATGCAGGTTTTCAGGAAGTAAGAGGTCTTTATTAACATACCGATCGGGCCTCAGATGAACTAACGTTCCAAAACAGGTCTGAGGGGCAAACACATGGAGTACATGCTTTTTATAGAGCTATAACTCCTCCCATTAATAGCTCCACCCGCACATACCCTTAACCAATCAGTGGACAGGATTTGGATTTCCTCATATAGGCAGACCACATGGCTCATCCGAAACAAAGGAATAAGGAGTGTGATTTCAGTTTCTGCATTCCTGCACATGCTCAGTACATTGATGACAGTATCTTAGCTACATGTAACTAACTAACTGATACAACATACACATATGCTACGTGGAAATCTCGGCCTACTAAATTTACATTTCACCAAAATTCCATCACATTCCCCCCTTTGATGCCTCTGATACAAAATTATTCCAGATGCATCACCAATCATAGTTTACCAACACCGCTCAAGTAGCCATGGACCAGAGCAGACCTTGTAAGCATCTTAGCATCATCACAAACTCCTTCAGCATTCCTCATCCTGAAAATGTTCTCTTTGGGCTAGGGATTCATATCTATAGACAGCCATCACATGAGCAGCTGTCTTTCTTTCTATAGTACTCTCTATGATACTACATATAGATCTGACCACTAATGGAATTAGGCAGGGCAGAAAGAGACATAAGAATATAATGAATACTACCCCTCCTACTAATGCCTTAATCCCTCCAAGCTGCTCATACCAACTTCCAAACCAACTACTAGGATTATACTCATTCCAGACCTGAGTAGGTACATGCGTCAGTTTAACCATGTGGCTTGTAAGTTCAGCCACTGCCCGCCCTTCATCATCTATGTGCAAACAACAGTTGCTGAGATTAAACTTTCCATATACACCGCCCTCTACTGCTAATAGGTAGTCCAGAGTTAATCTATTTTGATAGATGGCTGATCTCATCCGAGTATTTTGCTTAGCTAGAAGATTAAGTGCTTGAGCTGTCTCATTAGTGATAATCTCAACCACCGTCTGTAGTCTTATAATACGGTTGAGCATATATATTGGGGTTCTATATCCATAGGTACCATCTTCTGCCCAAGTAGCAGGTCCATAATAATTAATAATGCATTGGGGAGGCCACTCATCATCGTCCCAGCTACCTATATTCAAGGATGCGCGCTTCTTTTTATGATTTACATCATAAACCTTAACTCCCAAGGTCTCTCCTGTCTCAATTGGCAACAGGAAGAAGGATGGTTTGAGCATACCTAATACACATGCCCTTCCCAATCTTGTGGTAACTCTGAATATGCTTTCTTACCACAGATCCAATATAAATTCGCTGGGGCTTTCCAATTGGATGTAGCAGATAAGTCAAACCATACCTCTTTTAAATGGGTGTAATTGGCAAACGGATTAGTAGGCTCTGAGACATTTGAAGCTGACCACCAAGTAGTATCTTTAGTATCGGCATTATAGGCTTTCTGTCCTAGACATATTTACTCGCCAACAGGTGTGGTATACAATGGCCCTTTCCTGGCTAAACATACATGACCTATAATGGAGGTTTTTAACCGCCACTCTGATTTACCTCTAGTACTTACTTGATGATCAGGCTGAGAAAGTATTTGTTGTTCGTCTGTCTCAGAACCAGGGTACCATACTTCCTTTGCCTCCCATGGCCACTGGTCTCCCATATTAGTACCTCCACATACAAAGCAATTAGTTACATTAAGACTACCTGCAATACTCTCAATAAATAGGTTCTTAACATTATGGGGAATTTTATCCTCAACACTCATCTCCTCATAGAAGGAATGAAAAACCTGATGAGTTTGAGTTGCTATCATCTCAGTTTCAAGTCCTACATATATTATGGTCCCTAGATCTACTCCTGTGCCATATATTTGGAACCCAAATAGATTTCCAAACTTATCAATAAAATGTTGTGGATTAGATATGGTCATATGAACAGGATTACATTCCATAGACTTACAGTGTGGTGTAGTGGGCAACCTTTGGACAATCATATCTTGATCCACTGTTTTTCCCCAGGTCGCCCACCCTACACAAGACCAATATGGACAAAAATTAAAATCCCTATTTGGGCAATCAGGATCAGTAGATCTTTTACTGGGACATAAATATTTATCATTAAACCCATAAATTCGTTCCCATTTAAGATTACCACATACATTCCAAGGTTTTCCACTACCAGAGATCGCCTTACATGCATCAAATAGTAGAATGCCCGTAGAATGTATGGTATTTATCACAGTCCTATTTATCAAGGTCCCCTGGGAGTTACTATTCCGAATTACCAACCAAATTGTACGGGGTTGGAATTGGGGATCAAAAAATTTAGGCTCCCCTGATATTGGTTTGCACACACTGTAATCCATATCTAAATATCTACACTTAGATACAGACCCCCTACACTCATACTGTGAGTGCCAAATGAGAGTTTGGGATATTTGGTTACCTGTTTTCGTAGTCTTAATGCAGCTAACACAACTCTGTAGGGCCTCACCTTTATCTTCCTGAAAAATCCCAAAAATGCCTAAACACATAATATAACATTATTTCAGAAGTCCTCATTTCTAGTCTTCGACCGTGCGACGGCACCTCAGCTTCCCGATTGTGAGGGCTGCAAGGATTGTCGTTCTTCTGATCCTCACTTTTCTTCACAGAGGTCCCTTCGAGACACTCTGACTATGACACGTAGGTAGGTGGTCAGGCTTTATTATGGCCGTCAAAACACCTACTTGCTGATATCTGTTGTTACTTTCAACTAAGATGTCCCAATATCTCCTCGTACTATTTCTCACTCCAACTGAGCTATCCGCTTTAACCAAGTCTTGCAAGGATTTTCAGAATCTGGAATAGCTTGCCAAGAATCTGCCGCTGGTTTAACCTTATAATGATGAATCCACTGAGTCACTTCTGCCACCTTTACAGCTGTTGGAGTAGATAAAAGAACAACATAAGGACCCCTCCACTTTGGACCTAATGGAACAATATTCCATTCTTTTATCCACACTTTATCTCCCGGTTGATAGGAATGAACAGGTAACCTATCTTGTACCCATTTCTGTACTTCCTCTATAGTTTTACCCAACTCTACAACCTGCTGCCGAGTAATTCCTTCATCCAACTGATTTAAGTCCCCCCTTAGATTACTGATTATGGGAGGTGGACGCCCATACACGATTTCAAAGGGAGACAGACCCATTCTTCTGGTAGGAGTACTACGTATCCGTAACAGAGCTATTGGCAAAAGGACATTCCACTTGAGCTGTGTTTCCTGACACATTTTAGCCAATTGGGTTTTTATTGTTCTGTTCATCCTTTCCACCTTTCCAGAACTCTGAGGTCTATATGCAGTATGAAGTTTCCACTTAATACCAAACACATGAGTCAATTGTTGTAAACACTGATGGATAAAGGATGGACCATTGTCTGATCCGATAGAACACGGAAGTCCATATCTGGGTATAACTTCTCGCAACAGAAATCGTACAGCTTCTCCTGCCTTTTTTGTACGAGTTGGACAAGCTTCTACCCAACCTGAGTAGGTACACACAGCTACCAACAAGTAACAATATCCCCTCACAATTAAATAAAGTTAATAATAATTGCTGGCAATCGGCCCAGGTGGGATTGTGTGTTTGTATAATAGAGGTAACCAAATCTGTCATGACTTGAGGTTTGTCAGTAAACGAAGAGTTATGAGTCTTCCAATTGAATAGATCAGTTGTGGTGAAGGGGACATAGACAAACACTGGATCTGCCCGTTGTATCTGGCCATTTTCGTCAACTTGTGATGGGCCCGGTGTAAGTCGGAGGGGCATTTGGTAATGTCGGGGTTGAAGGGTACCAGTCATCTGTCGTGTTAATATAGGACTTCGGTGAGGCTGTTTTATAGTAAGTTCCGGTCTAGCGGTAGTAAGGTAAGGAGAATGAGGCGGGTTAATTTTACCGGGCAGGGATATTGCGGGCCGGGCTGGGAGGAGCCTGACCAGGAACCAGAAGTGACATTAATTCCGGATATATAGAACTAGTGGAGGTAGGTACCGGAAGGGGAGGACTCAGGGCAAGTGGGCTGGGCTCTAAACTAGATGAATGAGTGGGCAGGGACAATGGGAAAGGGGGAGTGGCAACAC